CCAAACCACATGGCAGGCCATTAACTTTAAGTAAGTCCATTTTAAGTTCCCAGGTAGGCAGAGTATAGCAGGCTGCTGAGCAATGACATGGCTACATGCAGGGTCCAAGCGTGCCATAGGCTAGAGACCTTTCCCAAAGCTGCTGCTTATATATGGGAAGCAGACCACATAGCCAAAGCAGCTACTCAGCTGCTTGTGGTAGATCCCACTATGGAGTTGATTGCCAGTCTCATCATGGGGAATAATTACCACCAGCTGCCCAGTCACTCAACCAGGCCCAGCCAAGCTGACACACAAACACGAGACGGGAACTCGTGTCCGCAGCGACGATGCATCGGGTATTGCGGTGGCGTAGGACAGCACCCTCATGCAGCTGTGAGACTGCCCTGCACTAATGGGGCACGGATTGCTCTGCTCTGACAGTCGTAATGCCTGTTTTTGTCTTTCTATTGTTCTTTCTCCTACTTCACCAACTATCTGCTGTCACTTCTCATTCTCAGGGCAAGCATCATGTCATATGCATCTTTGTGTCTAGTATTTTGTAAAAGTCTTGTCAAGTTGTTGAATATTTTTAGTTAAACATATGTTAATATTTCTAATAGACCTATTCTTTAACTTTGTAGACTATGCTACAATGTGCTGCTAAATGATAGATTAAATAATGAAACTTAATAAAATACTAACCATATTTTGCACATACTATCAGGCCCTATAGAGTCTGGGTGAGATTCCAACTGTGATACTATGTCCCAGTGAATATGGTGCCTGATAGTTTCTCCCTTTATTTTTTCTTTCTTTCCTTTCGTTTTAAATTTCTGGATACATAGCTATGTTCTGAGTGTTCGACATTCTTGTAAATCTGATCTTAAAATATTTGAAGTGTGTATAAGCAAAGCTAAAGTTAGGCAGAAGATAACTGCTCCAAGATCAGTTTAGACCACATGCTAATAAATCATTTCAAGAATTTATATTTAGTATTAAAAATTAAATGTTTTCTTGTGTAGGAATGAGGAGACTCTGGCCACTGCCTGCTGCCCAGGTCTCTTTACTTCTTATACAATTGCATTATGTGTAGAATGAGCACTTGGGCCTTCAACCTGGGGATCTCAGAAGCAAACTGGGGATACTCCAAGGAGTATCTCTAAGGGATGTGAGGTAGACAACAAGGCTTCTGCAGCAGCATTCTAGGATAATGAACAAAAGTTGCCCCTGGGCCATTCTTTTCCTGAGTATCATACTTTCTTCATCTACAATCTTTTACTCAAATAGAATTGGACCCTACAGTTTCTAAGGGCCTTATTTTCTCTAGTATTCTTTGACTGTGTTGTTGTTAGGTGCCATTGAGTCTGGCTGACTCATAATGACCCTACTCACAACAGAATGAAACACTGCCCAGCCCTGCACTGTCCTCACACTCCTCGCTAGACTTGAGTTCATCATTGCAGCCACTGTGCCCATCCATCTTGCTGAGGTATTAAAGGAAAGCAGAAGGCCCTAGGTTCCCTGTTAGGACTCTAGGATGTCTCCAGATCTTGGCTGGTTAACAACTGTGTGAAATCCCAGGATAGAACTGATTTATTTGTCCCCAAATGGCTCTTTCTCCACTTAGCCGGTTTGCATGTAGCCTCTATTAGTGCATTGGAAAATGAAGTGTGAAGCCAATTCAGACAGTGAAACTGGATAACATGTTGCCACAGTTATCTCCAAAGAATAGAATATAGCCATTCTTCATAATTTAAAAGCTTCAAGTACTTTATTTTTTTCTACAGTTGGTCAAAAAGTTATGGCTTTAAGTATCTGAAGAGAATAAAAATTAGGGTATTCATGAAATAACATGCATTAACAAAAGTCTACTGACAACCATAGCAATTGAGTAGTGCAAAAAAACAGTAGTCTTAGTCAACACCAACATCATACACCCAGAACCTCATTACACAACACAATTGTGACCAAATTTGTGGACAATTAGAATGACTTTACTAAAAAACGCATTCCCAGTCCATTTCATTAATATCATACGTTCAAAATTAATAACTAATAAGAAATAAAATGTAGTTCTTTGGTTCATTACCAATAGTATTTAATGAATGTTCAAGGCAAAGAAAATCCAATTAGTTGAGAGTGATTTCTTCTTCCGAATACTTCCTCATGGAAACCACACATAAGAGAACCATATAACTTTGTGGAAGGGTAAAATCTTTGAAAGTCTAAGAGTCACTGTAGGGAGAAATTAAATAATAGCAGGGAATAGCTGAATGCAAATTAAATTTAAGTGGCTCAAGATTACCTATGCTTTGGGAAATGTATATCATTAGTCATACTAATCATTCTACAAGAACAATATTCAATTTTCTGCAGCTTTTACTCAGAGATATTGGACTTTTTGTCACTTTATGTACCAGGGGCAGTAAGACAGGCATTAAAAGTAGACTGATATCCCCAGGTATCACTTGGTTCAGGAAGATCGCAGCGGTTTTTCTTCTAATGCTGCTGTACTCCATGGTCTGTGACAGGTAAAGGGGTGGGGAGGAGGGGACTAAAGGTGGAAATCTGACAAAACTTAGATTTCAGGCTCTTTTTGACCATGTGCATCAATCTAAGCCCAAGCTAAAAGAGACGCAGGCCTCCCTTGCTACCCTCTTGAGGAAAAATAATAATAATAACAAAATATATCTACTTGTATAGAATGAAACCTCCAAACCAAAGTTTGAAAGTAACAGGTTAATTCATCTAGCCTAATGAAGTTTTATTTTGCAATTATACACCATTCAGACTTGACTCATATTAAGGGAAGATTGTAGTTCATCTAGACAACTTATTCCAAGAATGCCGTTTAGAAGATCCCTGAATACAAGATAATTTGTACAGCATACAGATCAGAGCTTGTAAATGTCATGTAATTCCTGAAGATAACACTACATTTCTGACCACAGGTTGTCAGAACAATCAGTTGAAACCTAAGAATATCCAGTTGATAAACTGGCCATTCAATAACAGTTACTGCTGGAATACAACTTACATCATTATCAAGTTTCTCTCCTGCTGTAAAATGAGCTACCCTCAGGGGCACACTGGAAACGGCTCAAATCTCAAAACAAGGCCTTTATGAAAAAGTGGCCTATAAGGACCAGCCAAGGAGAGTAAAAGAGCTAAGAGGATACTGTAAAGAGTGTCCACAGGGAAAATAAAGGGTAATAAAGGCACTCATTTTGCTGACTTCCCAATTTTGCTTCAGGCTATATCCTGAATGAGTCCTTGAAGCCAGTAATGAGATCATTCTTGCCTGGGAATAAATGCAGCTGTCACTATCAGTCTGTCTCCTTGGGATGTGGACACCATTATTGCACTGATTTGATTTTCACCTACACAATGCAAACAACTTTTCATTGAATTATAGGCTCATAAACCACATATCATTGTGAGATTAAACTAAAATAAAGCTCTTCTCATTCTTTAAGAAGAAATTATATTCTAAAACCTAGACATGATAAAGGGGAAAAATGAACTTGGAAAGTGTCAACAAATAGCAGCAGGCTTCTCTCTGAACCCTACATCGGGGAATTTTGATCCAGTGTAGGAAAACACAATCATCCAGCGCCTCTCAAACTCTGGGCTCCGTAGGATGTAATATAGTCTGCTTACCAACACTGCTCCCTCTGCAGTCAGGGACGCTCCTAAAATGCCTGATTTAAACAGCCTCCGTGGCAGGTCAAGAGAATGTAGAACATCTGACATTGCTGACATCTGACATTCCGTGCCTTGTGCACGGAAAACCAGGTATTTTTTGCCTTGATTCTAAGATCTTTATGTTCAAATTATAAATGACTGAAGACATTTCCTGAGTAGTTTAGAGCTTCAAAGGTAAGACATAAATTTGATTCAAGTTTATTCCAGGTATTTTTGCTGTAAAGCTATTTTTTTTTTCTTTTTACTTCTAATTATTTCAATTGATACATGTACTGAGGAGATTAAGGTCATAGGTTACTTGCCTACATGGTACTATTCCAGGAAGTAAAGGCACTGAGCCTTTCCCAGAATCCCTGTACGAGGTGAGTATGATTAAAATGGACATCAAGAACAGCCCGGAAGTAAATCAATTTAAAATGGGCAAACACTATTCAGAGAAAGATTACTGAATATTAAATTGTTACTGATGTTATTATTTTGAATATTGAATTATTATTATTGAATTACTATTGACGTATGAATAAATATTAATTAGTGAATATGGAAGTGTAATTCAGGATGGGGAGTTAGGCTGGAGGAAGACAATGTTATTCTCTGTATTTTGGTGATGGCAGAGCCTTAAGTGTTCCTAGCGTGTCAGTGAAGCTAAGGTCTTGTTTTCAAACAAGCTGCCTCCTTGAGTCACTTCTCATTTGCCATTGCTTCCCCCAAATGGAAGTATCTGCTTTCCTAGACACAGGCATGGGTTAGACCAGGGCTAAGGACAGAGCCACAGACTGACCAGAGACAGATGGGATGAGCGCCCAGTCTCATTAACGGCGCACTTGCACCTTCTGCTCATGGTCCCCGGTGCAGTGAGCAGAAAGCAGCGGAGAGCGGGCTGAGGCAGCCAACACATGCTGCCAGAGCCTCTGGAAAGTCAAGAGACATGTGAGCCTCTTCCATACACTGAGCGTCTCAGTATACGTAAAAACGAAGAATGCCTAGAAAGGGTTATAACAATTTAGGTGCATTTTTAATGTGTACATGTAAATCATTGCTTTTAAAACACACAGAAAAGATAATTACAGATTTTAGGAAACTACTAAATCACAGCACACTGTGAATAATGTGGTCCAGATTACAGGACACAAGTTTGAAGTGGTCTGATGTCTTCTCTCACTTTTCTCAATGTGACTTCATGTTTACTCTTGAGACCCTTTATAACAGGAGGCCCAGACTAGATGGCCCTCTTGGTCTACCTGTAAAGTGCCCTGTTTGCCTTTCCCAAATGTTCCTAAATGGAAAATTTTCCTTAACTGCAAGCCCAGCACATCACCTACTCCAACTTACCGTGATATTGTAAAGGAGGCAAAAAAAATTTTTGCAAAGAACCAAAAGGATTTTAGGATGTAAGTTGATGCCATATTATTGTTAATATGGAAACAGATATTTTTTTTAATAGCTGGAAGTGATCATAGGAATCATCTAAACTAAGCGCCTTATTTTACTGATGGGAAGAGTTGTTTCTGAACATGTTACAGACTCTGAGATTCTTTTCAGGTAAGTGTCATGGGTGCATATTGTACCCACAGAGCCATGGTGAGTGTTGAGAATTGGAGAAGTGAAGGAAGCTTTGCGGGGGCCTGATTGCAGGGCCATCCCCAGGATGGACGCGCCAAGAGAGGGCTCCCGGGAATATAGATTGAAATATCAGCCTTGTACAAAGATCAGTCTTGGAAGAAGAGCAGAAAATCTTCCTGCAGTAGGAGTTCCCTGGAGCTGGGGAGGCATCCGGGGTGCTATTGAGAACAGAAAGCCAGAGAGGTCTTTTCTGAGGGCATGTTTTCCATTGTGTGTGCTTGGTTTAAATGATTGCTCCTGGACATTCATGGTATTCTTGGGTGCTTGGGAAGCTGCCGATGCTGTTGTTAGTTGCCATCACGTTGATCCCAACTCATGGCCACTCTGTGTGTGCAGGACAGAACTGCAGGATTTTCAAGGCCTTGCAGCAGATTCCCAGGGGTGTCTTTCCATGCACCTCTGGATGGGTTTGAACTGGCAACCTTTTGGCTAATAATTGAGCACTTAACTGTGCCAGCCAGGGACTTTGCTAGGAATCTAGCAATGGGTTGAGAGAATTTCATTGGTTTTTAATAGAACAAAATGGCAGGGCTGAATTCTTCTGTCTATGATATCAAGATCACTTCTTAGAGATTTTATCACCTCGAGGGATAGAAAGAATGGGCAGTGTCCCCTTTGGGTACCTGATGCTGTTCAGGAAACACAGGAAAGAGAGATCAATGGAAGAGCAGCTGCTAGGCTCTGTCCAGCAGAGTAAGAGCGTGAGCCTTTGCTTCTCATGGGCTCCCATATCCCACCCCTGCACTCCCACTTACACACACACAGCCCTAAGATTCCCTGTGTTTAGTGGGAAGAACAGAATGGACACCTTGCTGGAGGGACCCTGTTGAAGCAGCAAGATAGTATCCGTACTCAGCTGTCTTGAGTGATGCCTTTGGCACGTGTTTATAAGAAGGGATATACTAGGGGATTCTTCACACCAAGTGGTAAATAGGGAGGGAATCCTGAAGAAACGATTTGTAAAGGACTTTTACTGATGTGTATAAAGTGTTCATTTATTTTGCCTAATTGGGAATTCCTGCTTTTTATTTTAAAACCTAACTCCAGACATTGATTTTATAGAGAAAAGAACAAAATTAATGAAGAGATAAAACTCCTAAGGCAACGGCAGGAAAGAATCGACAAGGAGATTAATAGGTTTGTTTCTTATTCAACTTTGAAGAACTAAAAAATTCTTTTAATCGGACAAATTTGTTACATAAAATTACAATGGGTTTCTCATGTAAAAATGCAGCAACTCAATTATCTGCAAAGAGGTTTTCTACCCAACAGGTCATCTGGAAAAAAACTTTCACTTACCTTATCCACAAATCACCTATTCTATAATCTAATTAACTGTCAAACATTATCATCATCATCATCTCCTCTTACTCCTCTAGCCATCGGCCTTAAATTCATGGCCTTTTAAATGTATACCCATAACCATGTCCTGCCTGCCCTAGGAAAGATGTCAACTCTTAAAAACAACCAATTCACTTCGTCTCTCGGGCAACTTCTTTGTTCACCTTCTGCCCTGCTGCTTCCCCTACACATATAAACATTTTCCCCCACTGAAGCAAGAAATACTGAGCTCATTTTGTTTATTTTATAGAGTATAAAATGAAAAACTATAAAGTCATGAGACCAACCCACTTCTTCATACACAGCCACATACACAAGAATATCAAAAGAGGACAACCTTCAAACAGGCCCCTCGTGAGAGTGCAGCATTGCGCTACTCACGCTGCCATACGTCTGATTACTATTTTGGAACTTACAAAACCAGTTTCCAAGTCACATGAGAAAATTCAACCCACTAGTTTAGAACCTTATCTCAGTTTTCACCAAAAATCTTATCACTCAGCTGTCTTCTTCACACCACCTAAGTTAGAAGATCCAATTTCCATTAAGTTTTACAAACTTCCAAAATCCAAATTCACAAAAAATAGCATTTCTCACTAGTGAAGATACGCAGGAGAATGTAGAACCATTCTCACAGCAACTCTCAAGAAGCATTCAAATATGTTTTTTGCAATGGCACATTGTTGGAGAAAATGAATGGAAAAATACCCACTTGGATACGTTAGTCTTGTTGTGTGTTATATTTATAGACACTGTCTATAAGCTTTTATCTGTAATCTTAAAAGGAGACACCCATGGAGAGGGAAGGCAATTAGAAAGAGGGGCGGGAGCGTAATAGTGGTGATGATTGGACAACTTTGTTAATATACTAAAAACACTGAATTGTAAACTTTAAAAGGGTGAAAATTATGGGATGTGACATATATCTCCATAAAGCTGTGTTTAAAAAAAGAAGAAGGAAGGAAGAAAAGAAAAGAGGAGGACTGCAAATTAAAAGAGTGTATTAGAAACTAGGGCTGATTTTAACACAGTGAGATGAACCAGAGTCTGAAGCTGAATTGCAACTCAAAGAGAGTCTCCCAAACCAAGCTCACTGCCATGGAGTCATTTCCAACTCATAGCCACCCCTCCTTGGGTCTCCGAGGTGGTGTCACTACAGAAGTAGATTGCCCAACCTTCCTTCCAAGAAGTAGATGGTGGGTTTGAACCACCAGCCTTCTGGTTAGCAGACAAATGCCTTAGACACTACGCCACCAGAGCTCCTAAAGAGATCCTAAGAAGGTGTTATTGAGAAAGTGCACCAGGGATATTATGGACTGTGGAAAAGAGACCCGGATTTGAGAAGTCAGATTTGAGACAAGCAGAGTAGGAGAGATGTGAATACCGAAAGGTAATAAGAGCTGGGGAGAAAATCCAGGTTGAGGAAATAAAATTGGCAAAGATAAAGCGGACAATGAGTGAGGGGAACTAAGTCACAGGGAACCCATGCTAGAGGCCCCTGAAACTGTGTGGCCCTATTGTGCCCTCAGGGGTACCCTAGACTAAAGGCTAAAGAAATCTAGAGTAGGCTTTGCCAGGCATTGGCTAATCCAGACTTTCCAAAGTGTACCCAGAATTTTCACAAATTTAATTAACACCCTACCAATTTCATGAAGAAAAATAATGTTTTAAGTGTTTCACTTGAAAATTGCCAGCTTTAAGAATTATAACTAATAGTTGTAGGCCCTTTTTCATTTTTCTTTCATCTGCTTTTTCCTTGTTAATGTTCCTTTCCTTCCTTGCCTAGCCTACCTCTTTCTCTCCTTCTCTCATCATCCTTGGAAAAGTTCCTGCTGCCTCCTGGATTCAACCAGTCAACTCATTCATAAATATTTCTTGAATGACTACTTGGTGACAGAAACCATGCTAGACTCCTGCAGATAGTAAAATGAATATGAGCCCTGCCCTCAATGTGCTTACAGTCTAGCAAGCATCCTTACCCTGAGCCCTTCTCATCTCCCTCTGCTTCTTCCCCAGATCTTGCCTTTACTGGTCTCTTTTAAGCAGGGTTTTGAACTGGTTCATTCAGTCCAACCCCCGCTGAGAATTTTCCTTTCCACCCCAGATGCACTGACTCAGAATCCATGTGAAGCCCTGCTTTTACTCTTCTCTCCCCACTGTCTCTCCTTAATGCCCATGCCAGAGCCTGGTGAGTGGAATCAGTTAAGACAATTCTGTGTGAACCATCTCACTGAAGGGAAAGTTTCACTGCTGGCATCCATTGCATATGGTTGTTGGAATTGAGGGCTTGAGTCAGAATTCTTTGGTCAAATGTTTTATTACTTACTAGTTGTATGACTGTGGGCAGGTTAGTTATCCCATCTGAGCCTATTTCCTCATTCATAAAGTAGGATAATCATAGTTCCTATAAGACTGTTGTGAGAGTGATAGAATTAATACATATAAAGTACTTGGCAACCCTTTGTAAATGTCAGTTACCGGATGATGTCAGTATAAAGATAATTAATTTTATGATCACTTTTCTTTATTCCATGATTAGACTCCAAGTAAAGGCTACCAAGAAACCTTTCGATGTCATGTATGACTTTGAGAAGTTCCTGAATAAACTGGTATGTTTCCTCTCTGAAAATAATTGAGAAGTCTCTCTAGCTTCTCTTATATAAACTGGACAATATTTTAAAAGCATTATATAGTTCACAGGAGCTCTGGTGGCATCTAAGGCACTTGACTGCTAACCAGAAGGCTGGCAATTCAAACCCACCAGCCACTCCTCGGAAGGAAGGTTGAGCAATCTACTTCTGTAGAGATACTGCCACGGAAACCCAAAGAAGTGTCGCTAGGAGTCGGATCCAACTTCACAGCAGTAGTTGCATTGTGTTATATACTTTCACACTCAAATTACAGTGGCAGGACAAAATACATCCTTGTTATGTATTTATCCACATGCATATTAAAGATAATCATGTTTGTACATTGTTGTTGTTGTTGTCATGTGCCGTCGAGTCAGACCCAACTCATAGCGACCCCTCCTTGGGTTTCTGAGGCAGTATTACTACGGAAGTAGATTGCCCCATCTTCCTTCCGAGGAGTGTCTGGTGGGTTTGAACTGCCAGCCTTCTGGTTAGCAGTCAAGTGCCTTAGGCACTATGCTACCAGAGCTCCTTGTACATTAGTGACAACTTTATACCATTTATGCCCATTCCTTGCTTCTGGCCATGGGAAATAAGCAACTGGAGACTTCCAAAATGCATTCATAATTACAAACTAATAGAAAAGTATTGGTACTTGAAGTCTTTTTTTTCCATTATTTGACTGCTAACCAGAAGGCTGGTGGTTCAAACTCACCAGCCACTCCTCAGAAGGACGGGCGGGCAATCTACTTTCGTAGTGATACCACCTTGGAAACCCACGGAGGGGTTGCTATGAGTCAGATCCGACTCCACAGCAGTGAGTTTGGTTTGGTTTTGGAAGTGAACTGAAGTATATTGGACACCAGCTATTACTGCATTACATGGTCTTCAACTGACTGAAACACAAAATAAAACATGATAAAGATCTAAAACAAGACTCAAATGTGAGAAAGGAAGGAGACTGTTTCATCTTTCCCACACCAGTTTTCTCTGCTCCTCCTTACATTATAGGCAATCCTGTTAAGTCAGAAGGGCCTTCTTCCCTTCCAACAGACAAGAACATGCCAGAAAATTGAACAATCTGAGGTCAGGAAGAAAAGAGAAATTGACTTTCAACATGCTTGGTTTCCACTTAAAAATCTAGAGCAATCCCTATTGTTTACTATGTAATGTCAAAAACAGAGGTCCTACATGGAGGAGGTGATAGAGGGGAGTGAAGCACCTAAGTATTTCATAAAACAAATAGGGCTATTCTTTATTTACACACACACACAAAGTCTCCCATTTTCTTTTGGTCTATTTTGCCTACTCTTGATAGAGACAATGAAATAGAGATGATGAAATACTTACCTAGTATAAGAAAAACAACAGTGTAAGTTTGCTGGTCAATGACAACTATTCTCAATTGGGAAATGGCTTCAGTATCAGAGAAAATACAAGGAGTTGTGGGGACTGTAGCTCACTGGAGACCCTGTGCCTCATCTAAATAAAGCAGCTACTACTTCAGCTCTGAGTTGGGGCCGACTCGACGGCACATAACAACAACAACAACAACAACTTCAGCTCTAGTGCATTATTGCCAATGCCAATAGTCCAGATATTTCTGTAAAATTTCCTGATTTGGACCCTCAAGTGGGCCAAACTAAATATATCTGTGGACCAGGTGTGGGTTGCTAGTTTTCAACCCCTGGTCTAAATGCTGCCTGGATTTAGAGCTCTTCAAAAGCTGGCTCCAGCCAGCCAATACAGATGATCCGATTCTTCTTTATATACCAGTGCAAACTCTTTGCTCCCACTGAGCCTTCTGCACACATCATGATTGCCTATGCTTACATGTTTTCCTCATCTGCAATTCCTCCTCTTCATCTTTCAAATTCCACACATCCTTTACGGGACTGCTCAGATTTCCTCTTTATCTGCATGAAGCTTTTTTTCAATGGTCCCAGACTATCTTTCCCAGATATTTTTGGTATCTCTCTTAACTTCCAGAGCAACACTTGGTAATGTCTCAATTGAAGAATAGTTATGTCTTTCCAGCCAGAAATTGAAACAAACATAGAGTAGACCCCACTTTAGAATGACTGTGTCTGCCAAAGCAAAGTACTCCCATTTCATGTGAGCTAGAAATGTTTATCCACTACAGGAGAAAACCACATGGTTAAAAATTAAATAGCACCTCTTTCTTTTCTTTTACAGTGATCCAGGTATCTTTAAAGAATTATATACCTATCCTAACTCCTTTGTGGAAAAAGGAGAGATATTAAAAAAAAAAAAAAATTACAAATTTAAATAAATTCAAGTTTTAGATTATTGGACTAAATGAATTAAAATTCTTTTAGCACATTTGACTTAAGCTTTTAAAGGCATTTACCTTTTTGCTAATAATAAAAATGCATCAGAAGTTTTGGAAAGGATATTGGCTTTCCTACTACATTAGGTGGGAGCTCTGGTAGGGTAGGGCAGAAGGCACTTGATTGCTAACTGGAAGGCTGGAAGTTCAAACCCACTAGCCACTCCTCAGAAGGAAGGTTGGGTGATCTACTTCCGTAGTGATACTGCCTCAGAAACCCAAGGAGGGGTCACTATGAGTCGGGGCTGACTCCATGGCACATAACAACAACAACTGCATTAGGTGTGGCTGTTGCCCTCTGAGAAATATTACAAGAAACTTATCTAGTCTTCGCTGAAACTTAGATTTTAGATAATAATGTCCAATCTTTGAGTTGCACATTAACAAGCAATAATAGAATAACAGAAAATTGAGATAATTTTCTGGATAATTTCACCTTACGTCTACTGCTCTCTCAATGATCTGAGTATTTCAGCAATGCTCTCTCAATGATCTGAGTATTTTAGCAAAATACTTTTGGGCCTTAATCTTCATATAATTTCCTGTAGTCTATCCATTAAAGAATCCCATTCATTTATTACCACCACTATACGGCCAAACATTTCTGCTGACTTTTGATCTCATGTGTCTTCTAAGTATTCTAAATATTGGCAAACACTCCATAGGCACCAACCAACACAACTAACCAATCCCAGAACCCACTTTAAACCCTTTCCATACTCGGGAGTTCTGGCAAGATGGCGGACTAGGCAGAAGGACTGCACAAACCCTCTTCAACAAAGAAAAGGGAAACCAATTAACACAGACACAGAAGATAATCTTGGACCCCCGAGCCTTGAAGGGAAGGATACAGAAGTAGAC